CAGGAGGGGAAGACCCTCTATGAGATGGATCGATTCAGTGACTGGGGTAATCGGGATGGGTGTGTCAGAGGCAGTGTGGTTGGCACAGGATAGAGCAGGGTTTAGGGCTGTTGTGTATAGGGTCGCTATGAGTCGGAAACGACTCGACGGCACATAACATACAAGTTGAATAGGTCTGGAGAAAAGATACAGCCATGATGCACACTTTTCTTGATTTTACACTTGATCTTAGCCAAAAGGCCGAGAAGCGATACTTTTCTTGATTTTAAACCTTGCAACATTTCCTTGCTCTGTTCAGACAACAGCTTCTTGGTCTAGGTATTGGTTTCGTGTGAGCACAATTAAGTGTTCTGTGATTCCTGTTCTTCTCAATGTGAGCCATAATTTGTTATTATTCAAACAGTCAAATGCCTTTGCATAGTCTATCAAACACAAGTAGGCATCTTTCTGATACTTTCAGTTAAAATATATCTGCCATTAGCAATTATGTCCCTGGTGCCATGACTCTTCTAAATCCAGCCTGAACCTCTGGCAGTTCTATGTCCATGTACTGCTCTAGCTGTTTTAAAATAATCTTTAGTAGTTTTTGCTTGCATGTGATATTAATGATGTTGCTCAATAATTGCCACATTGTGTTGGATCACCTTTTTTGAAATGGGAACAAATACAGATCTCCTCCAGTCTGTTAACTAGGTAACTATCTTCCAAATTTCATATCACAGTCTGGTAGCATGTCTAGAGCTGCATCTGTTTGTTGAAACATGCAAACTTGTATTCTATCAATTCCTGGGGACTTTTTCTCCCCCTAGGGCCTTCAGTGTAGCATGAACTTCTTCCTTTGTGGTCAGTGGTTCTTGATCATATTGTGCTTCCAGAATTGGTCCTGTGTCAATCAGTTCTTTTTGGTACGCTGATTCTATGTATCCCTTCCACCTTCTTTTTTTAAAGCTTTTTTAAATTTTTTTATTGGTTTGCTTACATTGTTCGTATACATTGTGTTTCACACCTTTCCGTCTTCTTTTGATGCTTCCTAGATTATTAAAAATTTTGTAAGACTGAGAAAAACTGGATGAAATATGTTTACGGCATTGAAGTCTATGGGGGA